TAAAAGTTGCCAGAGATGCGCAGAAACTTCGGACAGGTCCAATTTTACTTTTAAAGTAGTAAAAGTTACTTTATTCGTTTTTCCATTTTTCTCCGTGTATATAAAAATAAATAAAAACAATACGTGGGCGTGACATTAAAATAAAAATCATATTTTCTTTACTTTTTCTCCTTTTTAACTCTCCGTTACGCTTCGTTATTTTATTATTCGCCGTTTAATCTTGGCATAGGCAAATTTACAGAAGCTCGTTTCATAAATTTGAATATAAAATGCTTAATAGCTGAAATGTTAAAGAATTGAAAACCAGCTTTGATTGCAATCGATAGCTTTAGAAAATCTCGAATTTATGGTTTTCTTCGTATATATCTATCTATATATATATATAGAAAACTTACATCAGTTATACTGTCATGGACCATTGGTTTGATATGTGCCACTTCTTTTTTTTTCTCCCTAACCTTCAAGAATAAGACTGACGTTAAAACGAGAAAATTGTCTTTCAATATAATATATCCTTTGATTGATTTTTGATTTACTGGCAATATAAGAAGTGGTAGATGCCTTGTTTTATTTTCTTCTTTCTGCCTCTTTTTTCATATATATATATACGAGTGAAAAAGAGGGTGGAAAAAGACAAGGGAGGGTTCCTCTCTCTCTCTTTTTCCAGGCTTGATGTATTATGCAGAGGCCACGCATTAACGCGATTGGTCTGACGTAGACGAGTCGCACCGTTATTTGTATTGTCTATTTTCATTTTTCTTTTTTTTTTATAATCCACTAAGTGGATAAATAAATCCTAAAGGACGTGGTACCTTAAAAAAATCGAATTTCACAAAACTGACACTATTATTTTCGCTGCGATTGGAAACCATGCTTTCTGTGAGAAGGAGGAGTTTTGTATTTTACTTACTATTTTATTTTTTTTTGTATTACCTTTTGTTTTGAATAGAAAAAAAAAAATGTTTAAAAATACAATTCTTTCGTTTTCGAAAAGAAAAAATTTGTAAAAATAAAAAGTGAATCAAAACCAACGCTATAAGTTGAGAGGGTTAAAAAGAGGAAATAAAAAAAAAAAACGGACGTGACAAGTGACTTAAGTCAAGGCTTTTAGTTGCTTGAAATGTCAATTCCGCCGATAAGGAGAAAAGTATATATATATAACTCTCTTCGGACTGATGCAGGGGCAAATGTCGTCGAGTAAATAATTAAGTAACCAACCCGATCGATCGTGAAAGTAGGGTGGGTGGAGGAGAGAAAGACACGAGACACTAAAAGAGGAAAATGTCTAGATGAACGGTAAAGATGGCGACGCGGAATAGAGAAAGAGAGAAGAGAGAGAGAGATGGTTTCGTGTCCCGGTGAAACTGAAAAGCTAGTCTCTCAGAAACTCGCTCACTAGCTGACAACTCTCGCAGTCAGTGACAGGCTTTGGGCGAACGTATTAATAATAAATGCAAACTCTCCCTCCCGTACCCGCCTTATCCTAGTCACCCTTCGAAAACTTCTCTCTCTCTCTATATATATATATATACACCCCCTTCACTTAGTCGCCCTATACTTCCTGTTTGCTTGCCCGGTCTTTTGCTTACTTACTCATTGCCAATCCAATCGAGCTGTCTCTCTCTTTCTCTCTCCCTATCTCGTCCAAAGGATGTTTTCCTAATCGAAAGTGACAACAGGTAAATTCAAAAACCGATATCTTCATTTCTGCATCACGAGACTTGTCTAATTTTCATTACTAATTTGACCCCTCTCTCTCTCTCTCTCTATTCACTTTGTGTTCTATATAATATTTGCAAAATTAATACACCAGCAAATGCTAATCCTGGAAATTGCATACCGAAAAGTCCTGAATAGTAAAACGCGAAACTTCCGAGACTGAATGTTATAACTAATTTCTCAAAAATTCTGGAGAGAGAGAGAGAGAAAGCAGAAGTATAAAATAATTACAATAAATTAAAAAAATTGAATGAAATAAAAATCGTTTTAAAATTACAAAATTTATGTTTTCAAATGTTTCCAACGTGTAATAATTGAAGCCAACTTCTTGGCTTAAAATAAGTTTAAGTACATTTTTGGGTTTAAAATTTGATTGAGGAACAAAAGTTCCGAGGAAAAAGGTCCAAAGTCAAAGGATCCAAAATTGATTTTTCCAAAGTATAAAATTTGCTAAAGTAAAATATTCCAAAGTATAAAAGTTCCAAAAGAAAAATTCCAAACTAAAAGTTCCAAGAAAAAAGCTCCTAAGTCAAAGGATCCAAAATTGATTTTTCCAAAGTATAAAATTTGCTAAAGTAAAATATTCCAAAGTATAAAAGTTCCAAAAGAAAAATTCCAAACTAAAAGTTCCAAGAAAAAAGCTCCTAAGTCAAAGGATCCAAAATTTATTTTTCCAAAGTATATAATTTGCTAAAGTAAAATATTCCAAAGTATAAAAGTTCCAAAAGAAAAATTACAAACTAAAAGTTCCAAGAAAAAAGCTCCTAAGTCAAAGGATACAAAATTTATTTTTCCAAAGTATATAATTTCCAAAAGTAAAATATTCCAAAGTATGGAAGTTCCAAAACAAAAATCCCCAACCAAAAAGTTCCAAAATCAAGGAACCAAAATTTATTGTTCCAAAGTATAAAATTTCCAAAAATAAAATATTCCAAAGTATGGAAGTACCAAAAAAAATCCCAAACTAAAAATTCCAAGAAAAAAGTTTCAGTATGTAAGTACCAAAAAAAATTCCTAACTAAATGTTCCAAAGTCAAGAAACCAAAATTTATTGTTCCAAAGTATAAAATTTGCAAAAATAAAATATTCTAAAGTATGGAAGTACCAAAAAAAATTCCTAACTAAATGTTCCAAGAAAAAAATTCCAAAGTCAAAAAATCCAAAACTTAGTTTTTCAAAACATAAATTTTCCAAAAGTAAAATATTCCAAAGTATGGAAGTTCCAAAATAAAATCTTAACTAAATATTCCAAGAAAAAAATTCCAAAGTCAAAAGATCAAAAATTTATTTTTTCAAAGTATATAATTTCCAAAAGTAAAATATTCCAAAGTATGGAAGTACCAAAACAAAAATTCCAAACTAAAAGTTCCAAAGTCAAGAAACCAAAATTTATTGTTCCAAAGTATAAAATTTCCAAAAATAAAATATTCCAAAGTATGGAAATACCAAAAAAAAATTTCAAACTAAAAATTCCAAGAAAAAAGTTTCAAAGTCAAAAGATCCAAAATTTATTTTTTCAAAGTACAAAATTTCAAAAAAGTAAAATATTCCAAAGTATGGAAGTTCCAAAACAAAGATTCCAAACTGAAAATTTCAAAGTGAAAAGATCAAAAATATAATTTTTCCAAACTAGAAAATTTCCAAAAGTAAAATATCTCAAAATATAAAAGTTCCAGAATAAAAATTTCCATAGTAAAAAATTTTTAAAATGCTAAATAAATGAAGAGTAGAAAAGTCACAAAAAAAATATTTCTAAAGAACGACTATTAGAGAAAAAATACTTTGTAATAAACATCCTTTGGGAAAAATAATACCTTGGGTCCTTAGATATTGGAACTTTTCTTAAAATTTCTTCAGCTAAAATTAATTCAAAATTATTTTATTATACTTTTAATAATTTATGTAATATAATAAATAATAATAATTCTATAAATAAATATGTATACATATATAGATAATTAAAATACATATAATTGAAAAATAAAAAAATTGCGAAAATTTATTATAAAAGCCCTGTGTCTCATTTTGTGCGTGTATGAAGCGATATAATAACAAAATCTCTGGATTTGACATTTTCATTCAACGATTTTATGATCAGAAAGGGGGGTTGAATTTTGAAATATATGGTTTAATATTGTGGATGAGTAGAGTCGCGTTGGATTAACGACTTCAGAGAGGGTCGTTAAGTCTCACGTCGTAACATTACCTGAAAACCAAATCACGTAACTTACAAAGTTTCTGCATAAATATTCAATGCACACACTGTCAGCTGTTCGTGTTGGTCTTTAAAGAGCATCATTTCTTCTGTCATTATAAATCTTTTGTCTATTTTTTTCTTTTCAAAAACTATTTTTTTCTGATACAGTAAGTGTTTTACAAAAAAATTAATTTAAAAAAAAAATTAAAAATCATTTGATTAAATTGAGAAATAATTAATCTTTTTTTAAGTAGTAATAGTAGTCAGACGTACTTTTTTTTCTATTTTGTATATTTTTACTAAAGGGGATTTTTTTTAGTGATATTAAAAGAAAAGGAAAATTAAAAAATAATTTCTACCTTTGTAGTGAAAATATTTTTAATATTTGAAAATGCAATTGAGTCTTGAGTCCTTATAAAATGCGGTTGTTTTTTTTTCTCTACTCTTTTCATCGTCAATCACGAGACAAATAAACCAATTCCGAGTGGAGGAATTGCATTTTACGTGAATTCAACTTTGAGGATTCTCCTTACACCTCGTTAGATGTCTTGTTTCGCAACAACGCTCGTGCAGCATCATATTTAATGGACCATTCTCTATATACAACCTGGCTCACTTCTTCTCTATATATATATTCACATTTCAAAGTGCAGTAAGAAAGTACTTAAAGTTTGTAAAACATCATCTTCTAAAATGTAATTACTTAAATCCTCAAAGTTACCCCCACCCGAAACCTAAAAGGTTTCCTCGCGCGCGCGAGAGAGAGAGAGTTGCATATTTATAAGAATATTTTTTTTTTTTATAAGAGAAATAAAAAGTAAAAAAGCAATTTAATAACATGTAGCCATAAAACTCGACACTTGGAATATTAAAAATAAATAAAACAAGAGAACGAAGAGTAATTAAACGAGTGAACGTGACGAGAGTGAAGAAAGGGACAAAATTTATCCGGCTAGTTTAGTTAACAAACTGATTGCACGGTGGCAGCACTTACTAGACATTCTCTTTCTCTAACACAAACTGAGGATTCGAAATATATATATACATATATATACATTCTCGCCAAGAGTCTGCGCAGAGATTATATGCATTCGCGCACGAAAAGAGGGTTTCCATTCTCCATGAGATTGAGGATCGCGCATTTAAACCACGTTCAGCGTGCTTACAACATCTGCCACCTTCCAAGATTCAACCTTCAATTTTGCGAGTACAGATTTTTAATGAAAATATACTTCATATTAAAAAAAAAATTTTTTAAATTTCTTTTTTGGTAACATTTTTTTAAGGTAGTATAACAAACAAAATAATAAAAATTAGAGGTGATAGAATATAGTAATATTATAATATATAATACTATAATAATAATAATATTGTAGTAGTATTTATTCATAGTGGTATTATAATAATAATAATAATTATTGCATGATGGTAAATTAACTTTTTTTTAGTAGTTATAGAATTTTTAGGTATTTTTAAAAAGTAGTTAGAAGAAAATTTTCTATTTAAAAAAAAATAGATTGGGAAATTATAAGAATGGCTAGTAGATAAGTAGTAAAAGACGTTTTTGGTCAGACGCTACTATCCTTTACAAATTATTTATAAAGCTGTCAATTTTGGTACTTCTTTTTGAATTAGTAATAAAATTTTAACTAATTTTAACTAGAGATTCATTTTTTGCTTTTGAATTAGTTAAATTTTACTAATTTGATAGTGAATTTTTTTTATTATTAGTTAAACTTTACTCATTCGATAGTAAACATTTTTTTTACTAATTTTTTTTACTGTTAATTAGTTAAATTTTACTAATTCGATAGTAAAATTTTTTTACTGCTAATTAGTTAAATTTTAATAATTCGATAGTAAAAATTTTTTTTACTGTTAATTAGTAAAATTAGTAGTTATTAGTAAAATTTAACTAATTTTACTAATTCAAATTTAGAGAGTAACAATGCTAATTAGAAAATTACTATTAATAATTAAATTAATACTAATGATTTATGAAACATTAATTTTTAGCTTAGAACTTTGTAATTTTGTTTACAATTTTTCACTATACTAACAAAAAAATTAAATAATAAATAGTAAAAATAGTAATAAGTAGTAAAAAGTAGTAAAAATTAGTAAAAATTAATAATAAATATTAAAGAAAATAGTAAACAGTAGTAAAAATTAGTAAAAAAATAGTTAAAAATAGTAATAAGTAGTAAAAATAGTAAAAATTAAAGATTAAAAATTAAAGATAGTAATAAATAGTAAAAATAGTAATAAATAGTAAAAAAATAGTAAACATTAGTAAAAATTAGTAAAAAATAGTAATACATAGTAATAAATAGTAAAAAAATAGTAAACATTAGTAAAATTAGTAAAAAATAGTAATAAATAGTAAAAATAGTAATAAGTAGTAAAAAATAGTAAAAATTAGTAAAAATTAATAAAAATTAGTAATAAATAGTAAAAATAGTAATAAATTGTAAAATAAAATAGTAAACATTAGTAAAAATTAGTAAGAAATAGTAATAAATAGTAAAAATAGTAATAAGTAGTAAAAAATAGTAAAAATTAGTAATAAATAGTAAAAATAGTAATAAATAGTAAAAAAATAGTAAAAAAATAGTAAACATTAGTAAAAATTAGTAAAAAATAGTAATAAATAGTAATAATTGTAATAAGTAGTAAAAAATAGTAAAAAATAGTAAAAATTAATAATAAATAGTAAAAATAGTAATAAATAGTAAAATAAAATAGTAAACATTAGTAAAGATTAGTAAAAAATAGAAAAAATAGTAATAAATAGTAAAAATTGTAATAAATAGTAATAAATAATGAATAAAAGAAGTAAAATAAATAATAAAATTGGTTAATAAAGATATTATTAGAAAATTTAACTGAGAAAATGAGATTGAACATTTTATTAGGTTTCATTTGGCTACTTTAACAATATGCTATTATATATTAAATTCAAGTTAATTAGTAGTTAAAGGGGTTAAAAACCTTTTTTCTTAATGAAGGTTATCTGTCTCTAAATGGAATTCCAATAGTTAACCGGAAATAAGCACGTACAGGTAGTTAAAGTTCTACGTTTCCAACAACGAATCTCATGATAATAATAGACGTTACTCGATAATACGAAATAACATTTTGTTATTATAGCCATCCTGAAAGCTTTCACGTGATTTTGCTTCTTTTTTTTTGTATTATTTCTTTCTTTATAGATATTTTTTTTCCAATCTTTGATTCTATCATTAATTTTTCTAATAATAAATTACATTGCTCTTTATTTTTTTATTAATTATATATTTGGTACACATTTTTTGTTTGTCTGCCTAAAAACGTCGTTACCACTTAAGAAATTTGCTATTTTAAATAAATTATTACTTATAGTAATTATTGACATTAATTATTATATTATTTTTTCTTATTAATTATTCAAATTAAAAATTGTTTGAAAGGAAAATTTTATGAAAAAGCAAAATAGAAATAAATATGAAAAATTGAGAATTGAATTTACTGTATTACTAATATTTTTATAATTGAATTACAGAAAAGGAAATAATGCAAAAATGGAAAATGAGGACAGTGGGTCGTTTAAAAAGGGTGCAAAATCTAATTCAACTTTGATTTTATAAAGCACGGCTATGATAGCCATCCACTTCCTGTTTTGTAACAATTCTCGTGTTGGCCGTTGCAGAAGCCATTCTCAGTCGTGGAATTAATTCAACTAGCGATTAGGTCTCTCTCTCTCTCTCGTTCTCTCTCTCTCCCTCTCTTTGTAGGTAAGTTTTCAAGCGAACATTTTAAGTGTGCGTGAGAATGAGTGGGTGTGTTTTCCCTGTGTAGTGAACTTTTGCTAAAACGGGTTCAAAGCATGCAGTGTAAATTTCCGCAACGGCACGCGAACATTCTCTTTCTCTCTCTCTCTCTTCCTTAAATTCTCCTTCTCTTTCCCGCCCCCACTTTCTCTCTCTCTCTTTCTTTCCCTTTTATTTTTTGAACTCTTTTTTTTCAAACTACTCAAGAGTTGATCGAGCCTTACTTTGCAATTACCTTTTGCTCGCGAAGCATTTTTTTTTTTTTCTCTCTCACTTCAAATCGATTGCCACTGACGTTAAATTTGCCTTCTATATATTTCTCTATATAAGGGCCAAGCCATTATTTTCCCTTTCGATAAATTTGTCCGGCAAGGAAGCGAGGTGTCACCTTCATTTGAAACATTTCTCTATTGCGATACTCGACCCTCCCTTCTTTTTTTTCACCCCCTTTGTGAACCCGTTTTTTAAATCATTCCAAAGACTTATGAATTATTGCCGACAAACGCGCGACTTACATATATATATATAACGATATTATCGAATTTGGCTTTCATAATATTTCGACAAATTGTCGCCGTTATTTTTTTTTGGTGAAATGATTTTCTTATTTCATACTTTTAAAATGTAATATTTTTGCAAATTTTCTCTTTTTTTTAATTGAAAATATTAATAATAATAATAATAATAATAATAATAATAATAATAATTTCTAATTACATTCTAAGTAATACTAATGTATCTTTATATTAGCTGCCTGACCAAAAAATTGTCTATACTACTGAAAATATTTTCTATATTGTATAAATTATAAATTTCAATTAAAAAGAAAATTGTTAAATATTTTGATAAAAAAGCAAAACGAAGATTTCGAAATATTGGAATTTTTTTCCAATCACTAATATTATAGAGAAACAATTACATATATATATATATATATATATATATATATATTGAATTAAGCAATATGATAAAAATTGAAATTGATTGTGCACGTCAATCACAAGTCGGATCGCTTGAAGCACGTAGAGGTTTAAATCCCATTTATAGTTTTTTTTTTTTTCATCCTAGCTTGGCACGGTTACATGAACGGTAAGAAAAATACAGTTCAAGGCAATGTCCACAGTTGATTTAGTTTAAAATCTATTTTGACCCAATGTAATACCTGCAATTTATTTTTCACCCAAGATCACAATACCTATTTTTAACAATTTATTTAACGGAAAACTATTTTGTTACAATGGATTTTTATTTCAAATACTTTAACGAATTTTTTTCCCTCTCTCTTTGACAAAAGTAACACTTGATAACTGATTGTTTACCAAAAAAAAAAAAATTTAAATATTAATTATATATATATTAATAAATAATTATGTTTAATAATAATAATTTTTATTGTAAATAATTATTAAAATATTGAAAAAGTTAATGGAAATTATTTCTATTTTCAGGTAGAAAAAGATGCAGTAGGACCTCGATAATTGATACCCTAGAAACTCTTCGGATTTAAGGTTTTACTGTATTTTTTTTATAATTTTCCCTCTGTAAAAAAATGTCGGGAATTTAATTTTCAAAATAATGTTACTGTAATCACAGGATTTTTTCTTATCCAGGTTCGACTGTATTTCATCTCTCAAAAATCAGTAAAAACCTCTTGTATTGAACATAAATTTTTCTTTCATTTCTAAAAATAAAAGATATTAATAGCTTTGTTTAGAAAAATCAATTATCAATTATGAGAGGTTGTACTGTATATTCTGTCAATTATCGAATTTTTTCTCCTGCTACACTCTAAAACGAAAGATATTATAATTAAATAGCAACTTTATAGGTACTAAATTACCTGTTGGTTCTATTTTTTAATACCTAAAATTTGGTACTATTTTAGTACCTTCTTTTTACAGTGATAGTAAAAATATATTTATTTTAATATTGTATAAAAATATTGTATTGTATTGTATAAAAATAATTTTCAAAAACGATATTAGTAGAAAAAAAAAATTGGAATTAATTTTTTGTTCCCATCACAGGGGAATCAATTCATTCTCCAGATGATTTTAATGCTCGAAAATAAAGGCGCACAAGGAGGGCGTTAGTGAAACTGTCAATGGCAGAGCAAACTTCTTTCCTCGTAAGTTTTCGACATGTTTAATGGCATCAATTTGTTACGTTCTTCGTCAACGGAACACATTAAACGCAAGACTTATAGCAAGGCAGAGGGTACCTACATATTTCAAAGGGGCATTTGTCTTGGTGCACCATGGACCCACGATTCTCTATTTCGATTTGCTCGTGTCTCTCTCTCTCTCTCTCTCTCTCTCTCTCTCTCTCTCTCTCTCTCTCTCTCTCTCTTTTATCTTCTCACTTTCTCTGTTTGCTCATTTCTCACTTTTCTCTCTCTCTCTCTCTCTCTTTCTTTCTCTCTTTGTCGCACACATCAACCCAACTCTACACGCATCGAGAGTCGAATAATTCATTGCGGGCGGCTTTGCTAATGAAGGCAGGATAGTTTAAAACTTCTCTCGTATTTCAGCTCGTTAATCGGTTATCGCAATCATTATCGCAGCTCAAGTACAAATCTTTAAAGGATGCAAAGTTTCGTGTGATGCTTTGCTACGAGATTAGCCGACTCTGTCTCTCTCTCTCTCTCTCTCTCTCTCTCTCGTTCGTTAGTTAAAACTCTGTGCAAGGTTTTGCACTGCACGCAAATAAGATATCAAATGATAATAATCTGTTTTTTTTTTAATTTAGAAGAGAGTAAAAATCAGATAATTATATTAATTTTAATTATCTTTTGTTTTCTCTATTTAGTTCTAAAATTGACGATATTAATCGATATTTTGTTGAAATAATTCAGAACTCTTCTAAACATTACGGAAAAAAAAATTGTATCTGGAACAGAGATACGTTTCTCTAGAATAGAGAAAACATTCTCTGTTTTAGTAAAACATATCGCTGTTTTAGTGAAAATTATCGCTATTCCAGGTGAACATTTTTTTCCCTGTGTATTAGTAAAAAAAATTTTAACTAATTTGAATTAGTGACTCATTTTTTTAAAAAATTATTATTAGTAATTAGTAATAATAAAATAGAAATTATTTTAACAAATTTGTAAAAAGTACTCTCTATATCTGAATTAGTAAAAATGTTTACTAATTTAAATTAGTGACTCACTTTTTGCTTTAGAATTAGTTAAATTTTACTAATTGATAGTAAAAGTTACTAATAATTAGTAAAAGTTACTAATAATTAGTAAAATTTTACTAATTGATAGTAAAAGTTACTAATAATTAGTAAAAGTTACTAATAATTAATAAAATTTTACTAATTGAGAAGCAAAAAGTGAGTCACTAATTCAAATTAGTAAACTTTTTTACTAATTCAGATTTAGAGAGTACAGTGTCTGACTAAAAACTATTTATACTACTCGTTATACTATGATTGCAATTTTTTTTTCTAAACTCCGTGAAAATAAAAATTGTCTTCTTGATTTTTTTAACAGAGTTATCAAATTCTTCTATTCTTTTCGTTCATTTTAATAAATACAAATATTCTTTGTACTGTCCGACCAAAAATAGTACAGTACTAATATAATTTGGTTCTAAATAATCTACATATTTTAAATTTACTAATAACCGATTTTTTCAAAATTTACCTCAAAAAAAAAATAAAAAGATTTCCAATTATTTATTAATTTCTTAAAAACTTCTTTAAAAAAGAAAAATTATAAGCAACGTCTGACAAAAAACGTACCTATACTACTGAAAAGTTCACACGAGAAATTACGTTTTACAAAATAGTATAACAATCAGAATGTCTGACCGAAACGTAAATACACTACTAAAAATTTTGGATATCAGCAAAATTAAAAATTTCGATGTCCACACAGCAGTTTGGATGCTGTTGGTCCTATCAAAAAAGTACCACATTTTTTTTTTTTTTGAAAAAAAACTATTGTCTGATCAAAATGTACCTATACTACTAATGACTCGTAATTTTATTCCCCTTCCACTAAAATTCAGTTTTCAAAATTAAAATTTAAATTCTCAAACCAAAAAAATTAATAAAACTTAATCTTAATTGATCTTAACAATAATTTATTTTAATAAATAAAAAAAAATTGAAGAGATGACTTGATTTTGCTGAAAAAAACACTCATTTAATTAAATATCAATTTTGTTGTTTTTTTTTTTAAATATACATATGTATTATAATGTGAAAAGGGGGATAAAAAAAATCGTTTTGAATTCTCAGAGGAAATTAGTTTTTCCCCATAGTAGTCGCGTTCTTGCGCAGTTCGTTCTCTCGCGCATTATACATTGTCATGCAATAAGAGAAGAGGATATGATTAATTTTCATTTCTCATCACTAATATTAGTTTTTAATGTACGATCATTGTTATGGGAATTGGCATAATTAGCTTTGAGACCCCAGGGGTGTAACATATCTACAAGAGCCATGTTAGGGGCTTCCTGACCTTCACCAATGTCATCGTACCTATCACATATATATATATATATATCGGTAAGTCGACCCACGTGTATGTCTTCCTGTCACTTTGTGATCATCTCTAAATTAATCATTTTAATTAGAAAATTATTTCACTATTATCCCTTTTTTTCTCCTATTCTCACAATTCAAATATTTGATTTGCATTTATTATTATTATTATTATTATTATTATGATTATTATTTTTATTATTATTATTATTATTATTATGATTATTATTATTTTTATTATTATTATTATTATTATTAATATTATTATTAATATTAATATTATAATTATTAAAAATTAATATTTATTAATTAATAAATAAAATTATTTAATAATAATTCAATAAATTGGTAAAATGTGAAAAATTTTTTTTTTTTTGGAAAAAATTAGAGAGAATGGAGTTTAGCTTTCAGAAATTAAGCACACAATCAGTGTTGGAAAATGAATAACGAACTATTTGGGAAGAGAGTCAAGGGGTCCATGTGTTCATTCTACCGGAAGTACAGAGAGGCACTGGAAACTCGAGGACAATAAGTGACTTCGCGACGTGTCTAGTGCTCACTAGGCTACACGATGCTTTGGTGTTCGGGTGGATGATTTTGCAATGTCCTGATAATAGTGTTCCGTTATTATATTCAAACTTCCAGTTAATATACTTCTCTCTCGCTCTCTCTCTTTCTATCTCTGAGAACCGGGGGTATATAACTTCTGCAATACCAACTCAAAAGATCGATCGTTTACTATCAACTTTTACTATATATCTATATATAAATATATAAAACTTATTTCTCTATAAAAGAATCTCGAAATAAAAAGTTTATTCATTTCTCTTTTTTAAAGATGAATTCGCGATATTGCATTGGTACACAATACAAAATGAGAAAATAAATGAAAATATAACTAAAATTTGATTATAAAATTTTTTTAATAATTATTTATATTATTATAATAATTATAATTTCATCTAACTAAATTTATTATATTATTTGTTTATACTATTTACTTATAATAATAATATTATTGTTATTACATAATAATAATATTATTGTTATCACATAATAATAATATTATTGTTATCACATAATAATAATATTATCTAGATTACTTACACTCAGAAAAAAGATATGTTTGAACCAAATGTACCATTTTTTTATATTTATCCAATTTTTTAGTTAGTTCAACCAAAATTTGTTTAATTCAAATAAATATTTATTTGATCTAAATAACTGTTTGGTTTATTTTAATAAAATTGAACAAAGAAAAATTTGATTGAGCTAAATAAACGTTTGGTTTATGCAACCAAATGTTTGGTTAACTGTATATATCAATGTATTTATTTTGTTGATTTAATCAAAATTTAGTTGCTTTAAACGAATTTTTTTCTGAGTGTTATTAATAATTTGTAATTTTATTATTTCAGATGGAACGATAATTACGTAAGAGAAGATCAAGAATAATTACATAATCATTTTATTAAAAAAGAAAAAATCGGTACTTTTGGATTTAATATAAAATTCGAATGAAATAATTCGTCTTTGATGCTTGCCGATCATTTAATAGTCGATTCATTATATATTAATATTAAAAAAAAAAAAAAAAAAAAAAAAAAAAAAAAATGATTGTACTCACGTGACCTTTGATTCTTGAAAAATTACTGGTAGAATAATGTTGAGTGCACTTACCTGAAACATAAAAAATATTAAGGTATTACAAAGAGTTCATTATGTGCTAGATCAAATACAGCCTAGTCATTGTTAGCTTTATTGATTTTGAATCATAAAGTAGAATCATCTCTTTTCTATATTACAACTTGTCTGACATTTATTTTGGAATTTACAATAAATAAATAAAAAAAAAATAAATAAAAATAAATAAATAAATATTTGATAAATTAAATGTAAAAGAAAATATAATCAATTAACATTCCAAAAAGTAAATTTAATTACCTACGTTGAATTTAATTTAAATTGTTTTAATTTTATTGTTTTTTAATTTCATTCAATTTAATTTGTTTTAATGTATGAAGTAAATACTTCATTATTTTAAGCCATTTTTAATAGAGAGAAGAATTTGTTTTAATTTAATTCACTTTGATTTTTTTTTATTTTAAATTCTTTTATTTTGATTTATTTCCTTTAATAAGTTTTTTTAACATTTATTAATCTGGTCAATTAAATTTTTGTTCAATTTAATAAAATTAAAAATTTAATTCGTAGCAATTGGTGTGAATTTTCGAGTTTTTTTTTTAGTATTTTCTAAATTAAAATATTTTGTTAATTCATAAAATGTCGAAAAAATGTTTTACATTTTTTTTTTACATTTTCAACTAAAAATATTCAGCTACAATTTTCATGAATAAATTCTCATTTATTTTTTTATTTTCCTTTTTAACCTGTTTTAAATATTTCGTTTACACGTGTTGGTTTTACAACGTTTTATAATTTATTTTGCAGTATATTTTGTACATTTTCATATGTTATTCGCACATTTTCATTCTCTCATTATTATTATTATTATTTTAAATATTATATATATATATATATGTTTGTTGCATTTAATTAAATTAATTTAGATGTAATAATTATTATTTTTAAATTATCATGCATTTATTTTAATGATTCATGTTTGTATTATTATTATTATTTTTTTTTGTATATCAATTATCAAAAATTAATTTAGATTCATAATTAAATTTTTTAATTGTCATGTTTCCAATTATTGCAATGGGTTCCATTGTTATTTATTCCTCATGTTTATTAATTTTTCAATAATAATATTTTTTTGTTTATTCAAAATAAAAAAATAAATTTTACTTTATTTATTTTATTTTTATTTTATTTTTTTAATTTAGTTAATTTTTTCCCATTGTATGATTTTATAAGTAAAGAGACTTTTTAACAATTTTTATTCCCCTTTGGGCAATAATTATTATTCTATTGAATTGTCTATAATAATTTTCATCATGATAATTCTATTCAAATTATTATCGATAATTTTAATTATTAAATTTCTATATTCAAATAATTGAATTTTTTTGGATAATTTTTCAAATTACGTTATCTTTTGAATAATTTCAATTATTATATTATTATACTATTTTCAGTGATTAATATTCATGAGGTTTATTTTTCGATTTATTGATTATTATAATTAATTAATATTAAAATATTAATAATAATTTAATTTACTGAAAATTATTATTTAAATTGTTTCATCAAAATTTGATATAGAAAAAATATTGTTTCTCGAAAAAAAAAATTAGCGTTTTTTTTCACACTTTCTTACAAATGAGTTCATAGACCTTTGAATAAAAAATTCATTTTCGTTAAAAATGCACTCTATAATAATAATTGTCGAGAAAAAAAAAAAAAAAAAAAACATGGTGAGAGTGTAAATGTCGATTATTATTTTTCAAATGTACTATACGAGGGTAGGAAAAGGTTGCGTTATAGGGAAATGGAATGGGGTTTGGTTAGCAGCCTTTTTCTCCGACAGCTGTACGAGTTCTCACATAGATTATCCTCGGTTTCTGTTCCTAGACATCTTGGCGAAGTAGGTAGACGTTTTGCAAGCTGCCGGGAAGTTGCTGCAAGCCGATAGCAAATTGTCGAGCTACTAGGTCTTATCCGGTGTTAGGGACGTTGAATCGTCTTCTGTCTATTGGGAACTCGCAAAATCACAGGAAGAGAGAGAGATAGAGAGAGAGAGTCAAATTATCCTACAAACTCTTGGCTTTTGGGCGTGTTCAACCAATTCATTTATTATTTTTGCTACCAAAAATTTATTTTTTAAAAATTCTTCTTCTAAATGGAAATTAAATTTTTTTTTCTGTTTCATTTTTAATCACTTTTGATTTTAGTGAAAAAAATCAAGAAAAGGCGCTAATTTAATATTTTATATGCCTTTTAAATAGAGAACGAAAAAAAAAAAAATTGGGTCAAGTATCTTTAGATGTAAATTAGAATGAGAAGATTTAGGCTGAATGTGTTTGAATAAGCTGTGGATTTTGTGTGTAGCTTTTTTCATTTCCGTGGCGCGCCCTTAATCGCTTGGTCGTGGAAAGGAGTTAAAACTGGCGCGCATAAAGGTGGGTTTGTTATTTAAGACTTTAAGATAGTATTTCCGACCTCTTTGCAGTTACAAATTGGACTACCTTCACTTAAAAGCTCCCGATTAAGGATCTTGGCCTGTCCGTCCCGTTTCTCAACTTCTTTCTCTCTCTCTCTCTTTCTCTCATCTACTTTTGCTCCTTTACTTTGAGCATCCTTTTTTTTCTTCTTCTTCTCACCTCGAATCTCGGTAATCTAATGCTTAATTCTATCTCTCTTGTGAAATCTCTCAAAAAGGTAAATTACAATTTTTGTTTTTTTTTTATATTTGCATTTGTTATAAACATTCTTATTATTTATATTATTATTTATACTATTAGTTATACTATTATTTATACTATTATTTATACTATTATTTAGACTATTAGTTATACTATTATTTATACTATTAGTTATACTATTATTTATACTATTATTTATACTATTATTTATACTATTATTTGTATTATTATTTACTATTATTTATTTTAATATTTGTCATAAAATCTAGTGTCTGACCAAAAACTATTTATACTACTGATGTAATGTAAAATTTCTTTTTGAGTATATGTACTTGTAGGAGAATATTTTTATTGACACACGTATTTTTCGCCCTTATATTGCATGAACATAATTAAGTTGCAACCGACGTAAATTTTCCTGAGCTTAAAGTCAAAGTGTTGGATGAAATTCGAGCCTGAAATTAAGAGAGAGGAAGCGAGCTCACAACCTCTTCTAATGGCAAAATACAGTTAGCGGCGTCCACGAATGTATCGAGTAAATGGGAGGGGGGGGGAAGAAAGAGGAAGTTGAGGCGTCATTAGCTAGCCTCGCCTGTTTACTTACTAAATACAGTAGTATGTCATTTGCATTGCTTTACATAACCAATGTTTTTTTTTTTTTTTTTAAATAAACATCTGGTCACCTAAACCTTGTATGGAATTATTTTGTGTGCGTGGAAAAAAGAAGAATAAGAAAACGAAAACAAAATAAAAAGAGATAAAAATAAAAAGAAGAAAAAATGAATTTCGAAATTTGGAAATAGGTAAAAAAGAAAAAAAAGAAGGGAAACAGTAATAAAAAGAAGAAATAGAATAAAAAAAAGAAATGGAATAAAAAAAAGAAATAAATAAAAAAGAAGGACAGAAATTTGAAAAAAACGAAAAAAAGAAGTTAAAATTTTGAAAGAAACCAAAAAAAAGGTAAAAAAAAGTGGGGGAAAAAGAGAAGAAAAAGAAAACCAAGAATACGGAATCAGCTAAATTGGCTTGGGCTTCTTTAGAACTTTTTTCCTCATTCCTTTGCTCGCTCGTTTCGTTATCACCTTTAGGAATATTGTTTGCACAAGACAAGAAGAAGAAGAAGAAGAAATCGAGCGCCGTCGATGAGAAGGACGAAAGACACTGTGATTCAGGACAGACTTTGTACAAGAATACAAATTCGATATTCGTAGTCAGCGCTAAAGACACACACACACACACACACATACATACTATAATATAAGAAATCGCCAAGGGAAATATCGAACACCATCTTTTGCAATATTCGCAAATTTTTGTCCTTCTCAGCTTATTTTTTAATAAAAATTTTTCCAACACATATTATTTATTTTTTTTATTAAAGAAATTTTTGTTTCTAAAAAAAAGGACATTTTTAGCTGACTCACAATTATTGGAATAATTTTTCTCTCAGTAGCAATAGATTAAGACAAAAAAATAACACACAAATTTAAAAGTATCAAATTGATACCAAAAATATCAAATTGATATGAAAATTTGTATCAATTTGATATTTTTGGTATCAATTTGATACTTTCAAATTTGTATGAATGCGAATTTATTATAACTGGTTCATTTTTGACGAAATGTTTAATTGTTATGGCGAAAAAATTCTCTGATGCAGTTGTACTTTTTTTTCCCGTGTAGTAAACGCCAACTTTGATCGGAGAAGAAATAAATAATTTTTATTCAAGTAGTAAAAAGACAGGATAAGTCAGACGCAAAAAAAAATTATGTCCAGTAGTAAAGGTATGTTAAAGTCAGACAAAAATGTCGCTACTAATTTTCTCAGTAGTAAAAGACAATTGTAGTCAGACTTTTATTTTCCCAAAAATTATTTAGTAGTAAAAGTATATTAAAGTCAGACGAAAATATAATTTTACTTCTTTATATAGTAAAAAACAGTCAAGTACTACAAAATTATCAGTAGTAAAGGTCGTCTTTGGTCAGACAAGAGAATTACTAGTAATAGAAAAGTAGATGCATTTTCTTCGAATTCTCAATAATTTTTTTATCAGTAGTAAAATACCTCTTTAGTCAGACGTTATTTTTACACTTTAAATTAATTTCCTCCTTTTGATAAAGTAAAATAGCATTCAAATCTTTAAAAAAAAACTATCCTTATAAATTATTATAAGAATTTTTATCGTACCTTAAATTCTCATTTTAAAATGAAAAAAAAAAATATCTTAATAGTTAAAGAGTGTCTTTATTAACAAGAGAAGTGGAGAAAAAAGAAAAACTTAAAATTTATTCTCTTAATATAATTGAATTATAAAAACTAAACCCTATAAAATTATATCAGACGGAATAAACTCGTTATAATTTCATTGTCACTTTTATCGCCCTTTAATTTGACAAGAGCCAATTAGAAGAAAGAAACTTTTTTTTTAACGATAAAACTTTATTGGAAAAAAAGAGGGAAATATAATTTTTTTTTTTTAC